TTTTGAAGACAAATTAAAACATTTTTAGGATAGTACACCAAACAAACTTTTTTACAGGTACATTTTTAAGATAATACACCAAACCAAACACTTTAGTTGAAATCCACTCCAACCAAACAGGATCTTCGATTGCCTTGTTTGGCACTATTTTTAGTCCTGAACAGTTGTCAGTTGCTACTTTCTGCAGTTCAACTGTTTTCTCCTCATGCCGGTTGTGGACAAGTTGCCTGCCCTCCTTCGCAAAGACTTGGAATCTGCATTCGAAGATGATTTGGACAATGTTTTCAACATCACCAACCTGCAGCATTCATTTGGACAGCAGAAACGCGAAACTGAGATTGAGTTGAAAAGAATACAAAAACTTAAAGAGAAGTTCAGGTGCATTCATGAACAACTTAATTCCCACAAGATTTAAGTTTTGGCAAGTAGTGATCTTAGTTGGTACTGAAAGAGAGAAGTCAGGTTTGCTATTCTGTAATTTTCAAGCTTGAGTTTGATTGCTTTCTCGCCAACCCCATTTTGAGGAAAATATTTTTGAGCGAGAAGTCCTTTTTTTTACTTTTAATGAGAAATAAATCAAAGTAAAAAAACATAAAACCCCCTGAAAGAAAATAAAAATGGATAAAACATCTGATCAGAAGAAATCTTGAGATCATGCAACTAATAAAACGTTCTGAACCAAGAGTGGTGCTTATTAATCAACAACCAGAAGAAGAGATGGCTGCAGGAAACCCATTATGCAGAAACAACTGAGAAGTCTTGTTTTCAAGAGTTTAATTGTTCTCATTTTAAGAGGGAGAGGAGACTTGAGTCAAGGAGAGACTGAATTTGCACTATGAAGGAGATGAAAGGAGAAGATCAAACAAGCTGAGCTGAGCTCAAATTTGGTCTGGTCGAGCTGGATGAGAATGCATTGGCTTGAACTCGAATGAGCTTAATAAATAGATTAATCTCACCACTAGTTTTGCTCATAAACTTTTATATTTTTCAGGATATAATAAGTTACTTGAGCTCGAATCTGAACTGATTTGTATTTTCTAATTTTAAAATTATCCATATTATATTTAATTATTTATACATACAAATAAGCGTACCCACCTCATAAGCATAACACAACCAATCAACTAAGGGTCCAAAATAAAAAATAAACTGGAAGATAACAATACTAAAATGCAAACTAAACGAGCTCACTGCTTACCAAGCTCCATTATTCTTGATCTCTTCTAACCAAGGTCTTCCACAAAGAGCCAAGGCTCTAGCTCGTCATTCCATGGCGGTGGTTCAGGAGGAGGCCGAACCATCAAGATTAGGCTTGGACTCGGTGCGGGCCACCCGGCCCGGTGCTGTGTGGGCCTGGCCCGGCCCGAGAACCAGGTACCGGTTCCAGGTCTGGGCCCGGTTTGGGGGGGTAACCGGGATGGGTACGGGCTATGTGAAATGTGAACTGGCCCGGCGGGGCTGGGTGTTTTGGGGGGTGAGGGGGGAGGGTTAGGGGTAGTTAGAAAAGCAAAAACAAAAAAACAAAAAATGAACCGGCCCGAGGCCTGGCCCGTACCCGGTGGAAACCCGGGCCGGTTCCGGGCCTTCCCCCAACCCTCAAAAGCCAGGCTGGGCCTAGCCCGACCCGGGCCCGATCCGGGCCGGTCCATGACTAATCAAGACCGTTATGGTTGATACTTCAACACCGATCAAACATGATCTTTTCGAAATGCTGGTCCAATCAAGCGCTAGACTCCCATCCGCCACACCCGAAGCCGTAATTTTCGCCAACATAGTCATGTCTTTGTCATCCATCTCCACATTGCCATACACCTGAGCCAGCTACTCCAACTCGAACTGTTCATAGTTTGCTTCCATCATCTGCCCTTAGAGTGGCCCGAATGAATTCAACCGAATCGCCGCACCATGAAGCATGCCCCTCCCTCAGCCGTCCTTCAACACCTACCGCTCGTCTAACTATCATAGAAGGCCTGATTTAGAAAGTTAATCGAGTACCCTTCCAGTGACCTTCGCTGACCAAGAGAGCCGTCACCGATCGTCCCTGGCAAAGCCGTTCAAACTTGCGCCTAACCGTGGGCTGCCGTCCGCGGTTTTTGTGGTTGTTTAGACTTATGATGTAGTTGAGTACAAAGTTACTTGAAGCAACTCTAATCAACTCCATATTTTGAAAATGAATAAATATAATTAAGCTATTGTAATTTATACTATATTTTACTCAGTAATGTATTAAAATGTGCACAAATTTTACAATTAAAACAAGAACACTATAAAATTGGATAGAATAAACTTTTATTTCAGATTATCTTACAAATGTAGCAGAATAATTTCAAAATTTATTACGGAGTATAATTTATGAGCCATAAGGCCCATAACTATGGTCGTTGTACGTTTCGCCGTTGTCCATAAAAAAATGGATACATTGAATGCAGAAGATTTTTTTTTGTTAATGCAATTAGTTTACTTATTATTTTCGTTGAGGCTTTGAGAGATGATTGAAATAATTAACCAATGGCTTGGGTGTATGGCACTTCTTTGATGGGTCCATTGTTTTCCTATGCTTTAAAAAATGATTCATTATTCTACTTATTACCTCTCCTAAATCCAATATGAATTTATGGACTCGGATAGATCTAACGTAGCGGATGAATGATTTTTTCTAAAAAAAAAAGGATGACACCCCATCCCTGAGGGCCCCCCAACACCGACCGGACGGCACGATGGGAGGATGTAAATTGGACTATAATCACAATCTGACGGATAGAGAGTGAAGTTCTGTCCCCAGTACTTGCAGAAGTCCTATGCATTTTTCAGCATAGTAACCCCTCATCGCAGTTGCCGGGATTCGAACCCGAGACTTAACCCTTGTGTCACTTCTTCTATCCAAACGTACATGGATGAAGTTTATACTACAAAGTACAAACGAAATTACAAGGAAACATACATAGAGAAATTCGAAGATTGGATGTCAAATTGTCTGAGAAACCAATCTCAAACTCTACTGGTGTCTAGAGGCATTGGAACCCGCCTGGTCCGATCTGGAACCCGCCCACCCTTCCAAAAATGCAGGCCGATCACTATCCAACACGTAAAACTAGTAGGGGTGGGTTCGGTTCTTGCGGTTCGGTTTTGACCTAAAACCAAATATAGAATCAAAGTAAAAAGTTCGGTTCGGTTTCGGTTCGGTTTTACACTCCAAAACTTGGAACCACGGTTTGATTGGTTCGGTTTGTTTCGGTTCGGTTTCGGTTTTTTCGGTTTTTTACCAAAAAATTATCACTTGATTCAAAATTGATATAATACTTAGAGGGATCAAACATATTACATAAAGAATGCAAGCACAATACAACGACAAATAAAATAAAAATGAGAAGAGATAAATATGTCTTGAATTATATGAGTATGCGAGATAGATAAAACTGTATATATTATAGATTTAATTTGTTTGTGAGTAGTTCGAAAAAAGTTCATGAATATACACATTATATACTTCTATGTGATATAGTTGAGATGAATATTTATTGTTTTATCAATATAAAATCTTTAAGTTATCTAAAAAGAGTTAATTACTACTAATAACTAGTAAACACATATTATCATCATTCAATATAGCTACATTATTACAGACAATGAATGTGTAAATGAATTTATAAACTAAATTAAATTAAACATAACACAAACATTATTTAATTTCTCTAACACAAGAAACCCAAAGACTATTGATGATATTAAGATTAATTAGAATTAATGCTTCACAATTAAATTATAAATTTCATATTTTAAATAGTTCGGTTTGTTCGGTTCGGTTCGGTTTTGAAGGGTAAAAACCAAAACCGAACCAAACAACTTCGGTTCGGTTCGGTTTTTTACATTCGGATTCGGTTTCGGTTTCTTAGCGGTTCGGTTTTATTTGGCTGCGGTTCGATTTAATTTGATTCGGTTTTCGGTTTTCGGTTTTTCGGACCCACCCCTACGTAAAAGATCCAGAACCTGAAAAAACCCGTTATCTATGTTAGACTCAGAGATATGGAAATAACTGGTAAGCCCAAACTAAAGATGAAACTAAAGTTCCTGCAATGGGAATCCATCCCAAGTCTAGCACCTGTCACACCGTTCCAAAAAACTTTCAACTTTCTTTTTTCGTCTGGTCCAATAATACTTTCACTTTCTTTTTTTGATAAAGAATTTGTGGTTCAATAATACGACATATACTCCAAATTGTTATCTTTGTCATTTAAAGAAATGATGTCAGTACTATAATATAACATATACTCCCTCCGGTTCACAATAATCTTTACACTTTCTTTTTTCGGAAGTACCATATTAAACTTTACACTTCCTTATTTTCCTTACAAATCTACACCAAACAGTGCAAAACAGTGTCAAACAGTGTACTCTACAGTTAAGTCAAATTTATTTTCTTAATATGTGTGAAGTCAAAGTATAAAGATTATTGTGAACCGGAGGGAGTATTAAGTTACATTATTTTAGTCAATACTATAATACAACATTTGATTTGTTAAGTGTCATTGTTTAGTTTTAATTTTTAAACGAGAATGGTTTTTACCTCATTGTTTAGTTTTAATGGTTAAATGAGCATGGTTTTTACCTCACGAGTGTATGGCTCGAAGGTGAAAATGAAATTACTTGTTACTTTAATAAGTATATATTACTTAATATTGTGCTCAAAGGGTATGCTTGTTAGTAAGTGTTTTATATAAATTTATACAGAAATATTTATAATGAAATATAGTTAAAATTGTAATGTTAACGTAAATGGTTATATTTATGAGTTCCATTTTTAATCTATTTATGTGTTGAAATTCCGGCATTGTTATAAGTTAAAAACGATCTTAAGTTTTATATGTATCAAGTAATGTTGAAATGTTTGTTAAAGTAATATATATGAGCTGAAAATATTTCTTAGTCATTCCTATGTATGAGGCCGGTGTACGTGCATATCTCTCTTGATATTTGGTTTTTGATGAATTAATAGATAGAGTAAAATTTCAAGTGTTTTAGTGTACACAAATGGGATGAGCAGATCCAAATTAGGAAACATAATAATGCAAGAGAAAGAAGTTACTGAATTTCAACCAAGCATTCCAGCCCAACTGGTTGTAAGACTACCATGCTTAGTGAGAGGTCTCGAGTTCGAAATCTGCTAGGCACATAAGGATTCGAAACTCAATGGAGTGAGTTTCAATCCTGATTATTTCAGGCTTCCCCAGACCCCTAGTGTAAAAAAAAATGTTATTTAAAAAAAAAAGAGTTACTGAATTTCATTCATTACATAACGGGCCCAAAAAGTAGAATCAAAAACTTCAATTGCATGCTTTTGAAGAGATCAAAAAAGTGATAGCCCCCGGGCTCTAGGTTAAAAGAATACTCCGTCCATATTAGGTCATGTCATCATTGACTTTGTTCACATTTTGATTTGGATGTGGAATAAGAATATGATCCATGGCATGGCATGGCATTGGCTCTAAATGTGGGTGTGGATTTAATTCTACCAAGCCAAGCCCTCCCCGTGAAGACTAGCTAGCTTTCGTGCATATATATATGTATCAACAGAGAGACGAAAATGTGGATCAATAGGTTGGCGTGTAAGGGTAAAAGTTGTGGTTAATTTGTGGGAACCCCAATCCCATTCCATCCCTTGCCGCATATTGCTGCCATAATAGCTTCTCTTCAACTAACAATCTCTGTTTCTTCTCCATTTCTGACATCTGCACGTATGGGGGTGGCGGTATGGATAGGGATGCCGCGAATGGGTCCGCATAGCCTTGTGGTGCCACCGTCGCAACGCTGCTCGCACTCCCCATAGCCAATACACCGGTGGCCGCACGATTTATTGAACCCTGGAAAATTAATGATAAAAAAAATTAGGTTCATTGAAGTATCTACTCTAATACTTCGTACATAGGTATGGATGGGTAAAGAAAAATGCAAACTAATTCATATAGAGCAGGATTGAGGAAAAGAAACAAATTGCTTTAAGTTTGATTAATAATAATGATGATGATAATAAGCAAAACAAGACAATACCCTGTTTTTATGAAGGTAGGTCCATCCAAGGGGCGGTAGTTATATTACTTCCTTCGTCCCTTATTTAAGTTCTGAAGAAAATAAATTTACTGTTTAACACTGTTAATAACTGTTTTGGCACTACTTTGCGCTGTTATGCATTACTTTGACACTATTTTGGTTTGTTTATCAAATACGAAAGCTTGAATTTGTTTGGGACATCTAAGTAAAGGAAAGTGGCAAGGGGAAGTAGGGAGTAAATAAATAGGTACAGATTTGAATTGAATGCTTGCTTGCCTGTTGGTACAGTCCGTCGAGGAGTAAGGTGTCGAAGCCTCCTGGGAGTTGTGCCTTGCTGTTTGACAAGTAGCTAGCGGATTCAACCAGAACGGTTTCCCAATCTCCGGCGGCGGAAGGTGCCGCAGCGGCGGCGGCACAGTCAAATAAAGCCAAAGCTAATTGGTCAGCTGCATCGGTCATCTGCGCTCCTCCGTCTCCCGAGTCCAACAGGTCTCCTATCTCCTCCTCCTCTTTTTCCTCCACCTCCTTCATCGGCGGCGGTGGTGGAAGAGCATTCGCTGGTAGCGGATCCGGATCATTAGCTTCCTGCAATGATACTTCGTTGCTGCTGCGTCTCTTCCACTCGGATTTCTCCCGGATCAGATCATCCATGAGATCGAGTTTGTCATTGAGCGTGACGACGTCGTCGGGATAGTCGGAGGAGCGTGCGATTCCGATGGATCTGGACCAGGTGTAGAAGAGGCGCAGCTCATCGAATTGCTTGGCGACGCGGCAGAAGATCTCATGCACTTTCACGGATTCGGGAATGGAAAGGTCCATGAATCGGTCCATGAGGAGCCCCAGTAGTTGTGCCATTTCATGGTATATCGCGAAGCTCTCTTTCACTACTGGATAAAGAGCTACCGACACTAATCTGTGCCGCTTTGCACAACCTGAATGCATATATATATATATATATATTCACACACAATTACATCACCAATCAATTCTATATAGATTATGCATCATCCTCTTCAGGGGCGGAGCAGGGAAAATGTGTGAGGGGTCGGAATTTAATAATATATAATATCAAAATGATGGATAGTTATTATACAATATTTGAGTTAAATGTTTCATACGTACTGAGATAAATGATAGTTTAATGAGCATTTTTCAGTTAATGAATTGATATATGTGTGATGTATCATAATGTTCACACAACTAATATACATTTTAAATTTAACACATCAAATTTTGCTTATTTCAAGTTAAGATGGTGCTGATTTTTCCGGAAGTCATAACTTTTTACTCGTAATGAGTTACGAGACCCATAATATATCAAATCGAAGGTATTTCAGAGCTCTACATTTTTGAACTTTCAGCGGGGTCGACTGACCACCCTGACCCCCCTTGGCTCCGCCCCTGATCCTATTTGATCTTTATCGCAAGCTTCTCCCCCTTTTCTCTCCTTGTATGACTTTGTTTGGGGAAGACGAACAGTGCCAAAGTACATATTGACTAGTCTCAATAGCCCGGAAAAGAAAATTATATGCCACATCAGCGGATACCGGTAAAATTGACAAGTAACCGGTTTAAAAGAAAAATGGGAGATTTTAGGGAGTAATTAAAAGTTTAAAAGTTTCTTAAATAGGAGTTATTATTTGTAATTGGACAGAAAAACCCTTAAGCTTGACAAAACAGACCACCGCCGACAGACTGCTAGACCGGCCATCGCCGCCGCATATTTGGCCGCCACCGTTGCAGATCCGATTGCCACCACCGTAGATCTGGCTGCTGCCTCTCTAGATTAGGCCAGATCTGACTTTCGTCGACTGCCAGCCCAGCAAATCCAACCGCTGACACTGCAGATTCGACCCCGCTGCCGCAGATCTGGCCGCCACTAGTGTTGATCCGGTCGATGACATCGCTGATGTCAACCTTTTTGTTAGAATGCCAAAATGAATCGAGAATGTCAACATGAATCGAGAATGTCATTTAAATGACATTTAAAAAAAAAGAAAATTTTAAAGAGTAAAAAATGCCATTTTGATGGCATTTTAAAAAAAATAGGAATTGTAAGTTTGTAACAACCAAGTAAACCACGCAAAATTGATTTCAAACATTATTGACAAACAGATGCACAGAGCAATTAAAAAGCCCAAACATGAGAAAGAAGAAGCAAAAGCTCACACAAATTCGTATAAAACAAAAGAAGCAAATAGACAACAATATGGAGGATGTTGCGGATCGAGTAAAAGAAGAGAGAAGAAGACCCCATGGCTTGGAACCATCGCAACCACACCAGATTCCAACGGAAAAAAATTTGAAGAAACAGAGGAGTGCGAGGAAGAGACATACCAGGCGCTCGTTGTCGCTGCTCGCCACCTCTCACGCTTGAAGCCCAGTTATGCGCAAAGATGAGACCGTGATGAGCGTGCAGCGGAGGTTATGAGTTGTCGCATGGGTTGAAATGAATTAAAGGGTAAAATTGGAAGAATGAGCCCATTTAGGGAATAAACTTATATCTACTCCTATTTAGGATTTTCAGAAATGATTTAGTCCTATTTGGCTATTTACTCAATAAAAATGGGGTGTTTTTATAGTTCACAACTTTGGTTGAGTGTTTTAATATTACGAGGATTCAACTGTTTTTTGGAGAAAATAATCAAATATCACAAACTTTGAAGGGGTATGAACTAAGTACCTCAAACTTGAGTTTGTAATATATATATATATATATATATATATATATATCAATCTATATATAAAAAATTGTGTTACCACCATGATCACATGTTTTAATTTCTAAACGACATATGAGGAGGATGCAAGCAAAATTAGATTATAGGATTTTTTACGAGAATATTACTAAAATAAAACTTATTTACATAAATATGACTATTCATTACTACAATGTAGTGCTGTGGTAACTAAAGTTCAAAACTTGAATATGAATTACTATGATTTCATTACAACTCTAGTAATGAATCATATTTTTGTAAACCATCTTTATTTTGGTCATATTTATGTAATTATTTCTAGATTATAACGAATTAATATTATTTATTTCACCAAATGAAATTTTTAGAGTTTTAACTACATCCACATAAAGTTTAGAACATTTACTTTGTATGCTTATTACATTAAATTTGTATTTGTAAAAAACATATAATCATGATGTGAAAGTAATTTTTATAAAAAGATCAATTATTTATATTACATGTGCAAGTTTAGTGTAACTATGAGATATTTATATTATTTTTCGCTTATCTTTTTTACAATATTGCGGTGACCTTTTTTATCATGATTGGACAGTACAATCCTAATGGGATATATAGAACTGGAAACTTGGAAAGTATCGTCTTTCACCCGAATGCAAAAGAAGAGGAAGAAATCATTGACGGGACATGTGTAACTGGCCAAATATAGGAAAATATATATCCCATTATCCCCCGTCCTCTCTAGATTTTGTCAATATTTTTTGTCAATGAATTTGTGATTCTATTCATTTCTCTCTTCTTTACATAAATCTCAATTACACAATTTTTATTATTTTAATTGAAAAATTGAAAATAATAATCCCAACTATTGCCGGTCTGCTGAAAATAATCCCAACTATTGATTATTTTTGTATAATCCCAACTATATAGACTATCCGCCAATAATGGTCCATGACCATATATTACCTCTATAAAACGTGAATTTTAAATAGAAATTAAGCGTAAAAATTAAAAATTGAGATTATTTAGAGGGATTACTTGTTATATCTCACCCCATCCACTTTAGAAACTACAAGAATTTATTCATAGGGACCATTATTGGCGGAAGGTCCCTAAAGTTGGGATTATTCTGTAATAATCAATAGTTGGGATTATTATGAGCGGACCGCCAATAGTTGGGATTATTACTATCAATTTTTCCTATTTTAATTTCACATACAACATAAACTTAACAAAGTTGAGTGAGATAGAGTTAGAGGTCGTTTGGCAACCCTGTTTTTCGGCTTATCAGGCTTATCGGCCAACTTTTTCACCAAACACATAACTTTTACTTTTGAGCGCTGGATTGTGTAATAAACAGAAAAAGTAAGGTTAGAGTTACTTTTCTGGCTGTATCGGCTGAAGTTACTGTAGATGACCATTTTAGCTATTTTTACATATAACTTTTTCTTTATTTTATTAATAAAATATATTTTAAAAATATTTTTTCTTAAATAAACAGAATCAACCAATGCATGCAGCCACTTCAGCCAGAACATCATAAATTTCAGCAGAATCAACCAAAACAGCCGATTTTCGTGCTACCAAAGGGGCTCTTAGTATGATGTATAATCTGAATTGGGAAGTGACCCAACCAAATGATTGAGTTATAAAAGGAGCTTTCCTATAAAGTTATCAAAATAAAACTTCTAAACGAAAATGTGACACAAATTAATATTACTATGAGTATAACACGATGGTCACTACAGTGTATAATTAAATATAATCAATTAAATATAATCATAACCACTAATATAGTCGCTTCCTACAAGAGTTCATGTTTTTTCTACCATTTCTACAAGTAATATATACTTGTATATTTCTTCGAATAAATTACTATTAGTATATAATTGAATACTTAGTATAATCACTATTAGTCACTATAATGTATAAATTGAATAATAGTATAATCACCAAAAGTTATCAAGTCACGTTTTAGTTCATTTATCAATCAATATTAAAGTTAAATCCTCCATATTGATATTAAAATATCAATAATGAAGTTGCAAAATCCAAATTATAGTATGATAAAAATTGATATCTTAATTAAATGAATAAGTGAAATTATTTAACAAAAAATTGACTTTGCAAATCAATTTGGGATGAATTGATGGAGGGATTTAAAATAAACTCATCATAAGTGGCGCGTGGCTTAGATCTTAAAACATGAAAGAACATTACCTAAAATATATGTATATGTGATAAATTGATAAGCTATGTGATGAATGAAATACTAGTAGTAGACATGGGAGTGGGAGGGGAAATTTGTGTCACCGAACCTGTTGGTTTGCACGCTAAGAATCGTTGAAGAATTTGGACATGGTGATGGATTCTGGAATAGACCATCTCTATTTTCATTTCTTGCAATGGTGAAGCTGCAACTTCCTCCTCGTCAGCCTCCCTATCATCATACCCTAAACGGCGGCCTCTCTGCTTTCTGCGGCGGCGGTGGTTTTGCATCCGCAACTCGAGCTGCTCGTCCAAGTACAATGCATAAGTCCGAACAAATGCCGAGAAATCCCAGGAGTCTTCTGATCGTGAGGAGTCACGAAAATCACACATGTTGAGGAGACGGGTCCCGCGTCGAGTGGCGAAAAAGATCTCTTGCTCATACGCAGCGTCGCCGTCATTGAGAAGGCGGTGGATGAGCATGAGGGCCTTGATCGCCACCGCCCAGTTCTTGGTTTTGCCAAGACGCTTGGAGACGATGGCGACACAGGCAGCCACGTGGGCTCGTGAGAAGCGAGTTAGGTTGAGGATCTCACGCACATGGCGTTCTTCGGCCGGGTACTCCTCGTGACGCGTCACCTTCACGATGGCGACCTCCAAATCTGAGAGGGACCCAACCTTTGCAAGACTGATACTCGTCTGGTCCTTCATGGCCCCAATCGCTTTCTTGAGTTTGCTTGGGGCCATGAGAGCTTGAAGGAATACCCGAATTAGAGCCACGTTTAATTTGTGATATTATGTTGGTTCATGATGAGGGAGCAGGAGGAGGAGAAGAAGAAGACTTGAAATCCTCTCTCGATCTTCACTCTTTCTCCTCCCTAGCTCGGTCTCTTCATGCATGCATGCTCTATCCCTAGTCCTTTACGTTCTTTGGGTGAGTTTTTCTTTGAATGGTACGTCTCCGAGACCGTATGGGTCTCCTTTGTTTTCGCAGTATTGTAAGACTCACATGCATTTGATGAAGGAATTATAGCTCTCCATACATGCAAATAAGATATTTTTACGGTGCGTGCCAATCGCTTATGTTTTGAACTATCCAAAGAAATTTCCCTTATTTACCACGCTTTCTGAATACGAGGTAGAAAACCGGATCATGGATTCATTTTTTCGAATCGGCAAAAATGGTTAAATCTGATTCCAATTATATTCCTCAAAATCTCCAATATAGGACATGAAACAACCATTAATTTACAAAGTACAAATTCATCTTGACCATCCGATGAATTGATCCAAAGGACATAAAGGCAAGATGATATTTTTGTAATAAAACCCAACTTTTTAGGGTGCAACTCATTGAACGTTAATGTGCACCTGCTATTTTATGGCTGAATAATATGCACTACTTTGAACCTCAATATGCAATACAAAGAACGTTAAGGTGCATCGTACAAATATTTGCACAATAAGCACAGTTTGTACTTGATCTTTCCCCTATATATATATATATATATATATATATATATATATATATATATATATCAAGTTTGCTGGAATCATACTCCTCCGTCCTAGGGGTGGGGAAAAATACCGAAACTTCAATTCGGTATACCGGGCTTACCATATCGAAAAATACTGAATTTACCGCAATGTTAGGTATACCGACACTTTTGGTACGGTATGATACCGTACCGAATTACTTCAGTATGATATTGGTATATATTTTGAAAATAAACAGTATACCGGTATACCGTCATACCGTAATTCCAAGCCAATATTTTCCTTAAACTTATAAAAATAACTAGAAACACAACACTAATTCGAGGATAAATCACTCTATATACATGTTTCTTGAATTATTTGTACTTTTTATTGAAGATCGGTGTTATTTTAAATATATTTATGTTGTTTAAATTATTTTAGCAGAATGTGTTGTTATCTTCATATATCATGTGTTGAAATATCTATACATTTTTATAATATTTTTTGTTCAAAGTTGAATAGAACACAAATAGGTTATCTCATTGGTATTTTATAATTAAATTCGTTAATGATTTTAGTATATCACTATTAACACTTATTTTCTTTATTTCATTTGACATATAATAATTTGTTATATTAAATCATGATAATTTACCGATACCGTACCATACCGAAATTTCGGTATGGTAACGGTATGTAGTTTTGCATACCGAAAGTTTACGGTATGGTAAAGGTATGCGATAAAATATTCGGTATACCGTACCGAACCACCCCTACTCCGTCCCTTATAACTTTGTCAACTTTCCTTTTCTGGATGTCTCATTAACTTTGTCACTTTCCCTTTTAAGTAAAGAGTCTGTGGTTCCAGTTAATTCTCTCTCATCTGCACAAACCTCAACCACATAGTTTTTACTTTATTAATCCCTGTGCCGGTCAAACTTGGCAAAGTTATTAGGGACGGAAGGAGTTGAGCGCTTCCTAATTGATTATAGAACAAAGTTGAGCGCTTCATCTCTTGAGACGCTCATTTACTTCCATAATTGGTTGAAGGTTAGACGTAGAACACAAGAAGTTAACATCCCGCACCGCACCGCCACTTCATGGAGGAAACAACAATCGATGGCAGAAGCAATTGCGACGATTAGTTCATGTATTTAAAGTTTAAACTATTCTCAATTGTGATTTATAAATGTGTATTTTCAAAGAGATTTATGATACCATTTTAGCCATGAAGGAGCTTGCCCGCCAAAAAAAATCAATGGACACAATGTCCTCTTCAAAATTGACATGATGAAAGTTTTTGACCGCATATCCTCAATAGTGCAATTAATACCTTAATTAGGTTTTCATATTTATTAGGTTTTCTAATGTACTCAGAACACTTCTTTTATTATATATATGACATCTAGGGGTACCACATTGGTAAGCCTCCCATTTATTTTCACATACATAGTATCGCGAGCTCTAGGTTTTAGCTAGTAACAAAAAAAAATCGGACCAATGGCCTCCCCTAGCGCCACTGCCGCCGCCGCCGTTTCCACCGTCACCGCCGCCGTATCAACGCCGGTTATGGACACTCCGATTCCGAGCGCGGTAGAGACACAGCCGGCGTTCTCGACCGGAACCACGGGCCCACAGCGCGGTCCTTCACCGACGAGCAATTATGGGTGCCTCCAATTTTTAAGTGGACTCCGACGGTCCCAACGTAGGGATGGACTCGGGCCGGGCCAACCGGACCGGAACCGGACCGGCCCGCTACTGTGCGGGCCCGGACCGGCCCGGTAAACCGGTTCGGTTCCGGTTCGGGCCTCCCGGCCCGGTGGTATACCGGTCCGGGCCTGGGCCTCCAGTTTAGTGAACCGGCCCGGTCGGGCCGGAATTTAATTTTTTTTTTTTTTTGAAATTTTTTTAAGTTTTGGGTTGGATTAGGTATTTTGGGCCATTTGAGGTGGTTTGGGGTGGTTTGGGGTGGAGGGGGAGGGGTAGGGGGTTAAATAAGAGAAGAAGAAGAAAAAAAAAACATTCCGGGTGGCCCGGCCCGGTTCTGGCCCGGAACCAGAACCGGAACCGCCCACCACCGGTTCGGGCTCGGGCCTCCTTTTTCTGAACCGAGGCCCGGCCGGGCCCAGGCCCGAACCGGGCCCGAACCGGAACCGGTCCACCCCTATCCCAACGCCTAATCCGCTACAGCCCCACGACAAGGCCTTTTCCGAATCCAGCATCACCGGCAACCAACGACTCTCCGGCACAACTCTCTCGTGCAATCCGGGACTGCTCTTGCCGCCCCCAACTGCCGGTCTAGTCGGCAATCGACCCTCTACTGTGACATTGCCTACGTCGTTTGCTACTCTTGCTCAAGGTATGGGTTTTGGTGCTTCTTCTATCACTACAATCGTTACAATTAAATTGTTGAAGGTAGAAGATTATTTACTGTGGCGTACTCAATTTGAGTCCTTTTTTGTCTCAAACGGACTCTTGGGCATTCTTGATGGCTCCCTTCCGGCTCTACCTCTTTATTCATATGATTTATATCAGACCCAGAATATAAATCATGAGTACTACCACTGGCTGAAATTAGATCAAACTGTTCATCCAAGGTTGTTTGCTACATTTTCTAGGGATATTATAATGGAAGTTCATTCTTTGAAAAATTCGAATGGCATATGGCAGAGATTAAAATCTCGGTTTATGGCAGCCAGTCTGGCCAGATCCATGGAATTAAAACAAATGTTAACTCATACCAAGAAGAAACCCAATCAAACCATGGATTAATATTTGGGTGAAATCCGGACCATTGCTAAAAATTTTGCTTCCATTAATTCGACAGTCTCTAATCATTACCTCTTGCAATATGCTCTTTTGGGATTGGGTCCGCGTTATGAGTCGCTTGTGGGACCTCTCACTCTATTTCCTGAAGGTCTCACGTTCGATTCATATGCACCAAACTTGTTCACCAAGAGGCTCGTCTTCATTTTCAACAATGGTTAGACTCCACAGTCGGCTCCCCATCTTTTGTCGTGCCATCTTCACCAGGGGGTGCTACAACAGCCTCCTCGTCTGGCGGGCAGCAGCCTCATCACGGCGGTCGAGGGGGTCGAGGAGGCTAGGGTCAACGAGGTTGTGGTCGAGGTCGTGGTCAAGGCCGCGGCAGATACCAGCAGTACCAGCAGTCCGCCGGGCAGCAACAGTACGCCGGGCAGCAACAATACACCGGGCAGCAGCAGTTCAGGGGTCCGGGGTAGAACTCTGGGGTGTACGGGCGAGGTCCTATGCAGCTTCATCTGATGGGTTCACCGAGTACAGTTTTATGTAATTCAGTCAAGTCATTGTCTTATACTCCTGCTATATCTACTCTTTGTACTAACTATGTTTCTACAGGATTCCCATCGGTTGAGAATAGTTTTGGTTCTGTTCCTCCCCCTGTTGTCTGTCAAATCTGTCATTCCCCGGGTCACACTGCGGTTGCTTGTCCGTCTCGTTTTGTCCAAACTCAAACTCCTGTCATGGTTGTTCCTACAGAATAATCCACTCCTGCTGTTTGGTACCCTGACTCATGTGCTTCTGCTCATATGACCGCTAATGAAGGTATTTTAGAAAATAAATCCCTTTATTCTGGACCAATAAAAGTTACAATTGCCGATGGTTCTAATTTACCGGTTAATGACTATTGGTGATTTGCATTTATCTACTCTGCCTCAGCCTCTTCATTTAAAATCTGTTTATCATGTTCCTCATCTCAAATACTCCCTCCGTCCCCTTTTAAATGTCGCGGAAGAGGGTGGCACGAGTTTTAAGAAAAGTGGGTTTGTGTGGTTGATATTAATTGATAAAGTAAGAATAAAGTAAGAATGATTTTGAGCCACACAAACTTTACCAAATAAGGTATGAGACATTTAAATAGGGACATCCCAATATGGTAAAACGGGGCATTTAAAAGGGGACGGAGGGAGTATAATTTACTATCTATTCAACGATTATGTGCCGATAATAATTGTTTTGTTATTTTTGATAAAAATTCTGTTTGTGTTAAGGACACAATTTCGGGGAAGGTGTTTCTTCAAACTTCCACTAATGGTGGTGTCTACCTTATCTCCTTTGCTTCTTCTTCCCCAGTTGCACTCAGCTCTCATGTTGCTCCTGGATTGATTTCGAATTGTCGCTTGGGTCATTGTGGCAGTCGTATTTTAGATAAACTTAGAAAGTCCGGAACTATTCTTAGTACATCAAATTTTTCTCATGATTGTTTTTATTATGGTTTAGTAAAATCACATCGGTTACTTTTTCAAGATGTGTGACATAAATCTACTTCTCTTTTATATTTAATTCATTCTGATGTTTGGCAATCTCCTGCTCTTTCTTCCAATGGCTATACATATTACGAGTATGTTTTATTTATTGATGATTTTTCTCGATTTACATGGCTTTACCCGATGCGCCATAAAAGTGAAGTTGTGAGCCTTGTGAGGCATTTT